TGCCAATAGCCTCTTCTTGATTGCAAGAGTGTATCACGGAACTCTTTCATAAAGAGTGATGCTTCTATTCAGGAAATTTTGATCCCCTGCATTTGATATTCAACAAATATAAGGGCATGAGCATATACTTGTAGAATGATATTACCATTTAAAGACTTACTGGTAATGTTAATATATATAAAAATGTGTCCACTTGTATTAATTTTTTAGACTTGTATTACTATTTATAGAATTGTGTTACTAATCATTATTGCACTATTTATAGGGTAGCCCCACCAGCCTCCCCCTACTTGCCTGGCAGTTTGTCATTATCCAGGTATCAGAGAGGGACAGAGTCATAGACCCAGTACTGGTGTTCGCCAGGGAATCTACTATCTACTTTTTCCAGGTATAACTAAAACAAAAACAAAACAAAAAACCTGAATGCAGTTAGCAGGTGCATAAGATAATGCCCAGGTATGATATATGCTAAATAGCTTTTGAGTATATATTAATACCATATAACTGTTGATTGTAGGTGATCTGTAGTAATGCCCAGGACATAAAGTGTACTGGTTTACAGAAGATCAATGTACCTTACAAGATGCTAGCAGTGGCCGTGAGTATTTTTAACATGCATACAAGGGGTTATCAAAAAGTTCATGGACTAGCGCCATAAAATTAAAACCACTTTAGGCACATCAATGAATTTTAAAATATCTAGTTGGCATCATTTTTTCAATCTAGAGAATAAACCATAAATCATAAATTTCATTTTTAAATAAATTGGTAATGTTTTTGTAAGCAATGGTATGTCCAGGCGGCGCAACCTCGAACACGACGTTTTTGCGACCTATGTTTAATGAGAAAAAGTCTTACGATATGAATATTTGACATCCAAAAATCCCATAAATTCAGGTATGTGTCGGAACACAGTTGTTTCATAAAATATGAAATTTTCACTTCATTCTGGAAGTTCTATGAATTTTTATCGTAAATTTTACATGAAATGTCCAAACAAATGAGGCCTTGAAAATGACTTCAAAAGGGGGGAGGGGTTTCCTTTTCCAACATTCTTAAAAGTTTTGCCCCTGAAAAAACTGGTATAGACCTAAGAAATGTTTAAATTGGCTACACAGAAATAACATGCAACCAGAGTACTTGTCTTTAAATGTCAAAATAGATTCAGAGAGAACAGGGATACACAGTTAATGTCGATTTGTAGTCAAGCTGTGAAAAATCAATCATGTCTAACAATGACATTGATCATGTATTATAGATATTGTACTACCAAAAGCAAAATATGCTGGCACAATTAAGCCAGGATCTCTCCCAATGGAATCCATTTGGAATACAATATTCATTGAAAGCCGCTGTTAATGACATTGTAAAGTTATATAAACAAGTCGGATTTAAGTAATTACTCACCTCCAGGGAATCTCATCAAAAAAGTGTATGAGGTAGAGAAGCGGACATTAAAAAAAAAAAATGACGTCGGATGTCATGAAAATAAACGATGACAGCGCCGGATGATCATATAATGTTGTTTTTATTTTATAATAATTTGGCAAATAATGAACATATCGAGCTAAAATTTTCAACATTTCTTTATTTTTTGTTGTTTAATGTTTCATATAAATTTTGAAAGCACAAACTACATAGTACTAATTTTATAGCCTCAGTCCACAAACTTTTTGACAACCCCTCGTATATACATTGTACACAAAACAGTCGAGTATAAAACTGTTTTCACAACATATTGATTTGAATAGCTTAAAAAATTTGAAGGTAAAATATTTTTGCATTGTAGTGGATGAATCCTAGAGTTCTGGTTGCCTTGGATACAAATGAGAAAATGCACGTCATTGATGTCAGGTCTGAGGAGGAACTGGAGGTCAGAGGAGGCTTTTATTATCATAGAAACATAATATTGAAAATTGAATAGGCATACATGTAATATTTGGAAAACCTTTTCAAATGTTTTCTTTGAAAGGTGGAGGGGAGAAGGGGGGAGAGCAATATATTATAAGAAGCTTTGTATTTACATGGTGTGGGGGATTTGTTATCACATACAGTATTAATTCTTGCAACTTGATGTTTTTAAATCTGAAAATTTCTTACAGGTAGTGGATGTGTCTGAAGTACAGCTGGTGTATAATAATAGTCACTTCAAGTCCCTGGCTACAGGAGGCAATGTCAGTCAGGCATTGGTGAGTTTATCATTATATCCTGTTGTCATGGGGATATTTAAATTTAAATACAGAAATTGATCCATATCGACGAGAGTTTACTGGTACTCTTTCCTTGTAAATAACTACCTCATGTTCATGCCTAGGCCTTTTTATTTTACTTGATAGTTAATTTTTTTTTCGTTTATGTCCAGGCGACAGCTGGAGAGGAGGCCTGTTACCAGACCGTGGTCAGTCACAATGGTCAGTTACTGTTGCTAGGTACCAAGGCTGTGTATGTCTACATGCTACGCAACTGGAGGGAGGTAAGCACGGTTAAGTCATAGATAAAAATAGATGTGTAATATACATTATAAAACAGGAAATTCCCCTAGGGATCTTCCTCCTAGAACATCGTAATATTAATATGTAATAAGAAATTAAAGCTGTTACGGTGTCTGTATATTCACTAGATATGACCTATGTTTCTATGAAATTTCACTTTCTGCTACAAATAGCATTTCATTTTTGTCATCATTTACTGTAATAAATCTTCTGCAAGCAACTTTAATTAAAAGGTACTATGTTCATACAGAGTATGTATACACATGTATAAGTAGATGTATATTCTATTTTCAGCGTATAGATGTTCTTGTTAAGCGGAACAAATACAATGAAGCCCTGGCTCTGGCATTGTCATTTTATGATGGTCGCGCCAAAGCTGTCATCGGACTCAGTGGGTCCTCAAAAATCAAGAGGGAAATTATTTCTGGCATGGTAAGCAAAAG